CAAGAGCTTTATTCACAAAAGCGTTACAAAGGCAGCGGTAAATACGCGAGAAAATCCCGAGCCGTTCGTCCAGTCTCTTACCAATTCCGAGTCCGGCTTCCAACTTCTCGCTTGAACCTCCGTAATCAATCCCCGTTGCTACCCAAACAAAAGCCTCTAGAGCAATCGATCGTTTGACGAACATATTCGTATACTGCGTGGACGACACGCGCCGCATCTTGCAGCACTGCTCCCTCTCTCTTCTAGATCATCGTCCCGATGATCCAACAGAAGTCAACCTTCCCGCTCTCTTTCAGACTGTTGTCCCGGAATAAATAAGCCAGTTGACCGGAGAAACTCTTGACCGAGAATCCTCTCTGGAGCAATTTCGTCCATAAAATTTTTCCGACTTTGGACAAAGGGGGGGAAAACTCACGTGGACCCATCGTCCAAAAGGACACCCCAGATCCCCGCCTCGGCATTTGCCCCAAGACCCACGGAAAACACGCTTAAAACCGTGAATAAGGCGGACTTCTAACACGGCGTTCAAAAAACGAAGATCTCGCGACGACTCGATGCGAAGCAAAAATCCCCCGACGTCCAACGACGAAACGGAAAGATTCAGGGTAGCAACAGAGTAAACGCTGGAATTAAAGAAAACGAGTAACCAAGCTCAATTAACACAACAACAAAAACAACTATCCGTAACATTTTAAACAAGAAAAAACAAACACCCACTAATTCTCACAGAGTTCCGACGTGTGTTCCCACTTCTTAAAAAACGAAGCCAACCTATCAGCGTGTACGACCCTATTCCTGTGTCTATCTGAGCGACGAATACAATATACTACATTACTTAATTTCTTAACAACTACGTAAGGCCCTTCTCAATTCTTCTGCAACTTAGGAGCTTTTCTGTTGCTCCTGCGAGGATTAAAGAACCAGACTTTCTGCCCAACATCAAAAAGAACATGTCTAGCTTTTACATCGTACCGCATTTTTGCTTTGTTCGACTTCATCTCTAAACGCTTCCTAACATCCTGATAAACCTCCTCCAATTTCGACTCTAACTCACAAATATAATCCTCTGAAGAACCTGAACACTAATTCGGCGGAGAGCCCCGTAACAAATCGGGCGGGTTCCGTTTGACCACAGTACGATTCGACACCGCTCGATTCGACACAGATTTATTCGACACCAAATTATTCGACACCGTACGATT